TATATCTAAAGCATGCAAAAATATGCACATATACATATTTATTTTTATGCTGAAAATTTGTATTAATCACATACATGTATGTATCTCTGTGTGGGTATGTACATGTGTATGATTCATATACACACGGGTAGAAAATTTACAGTTTAAAAATGTTAAAACATTTGAAAATTCATGTATTAAATTGTAGGTACCATAACAGCAAAATAATATTTTCATCTAAATATGAATTTAAATTGATAAAATGAGAAAAAAATCTTTTTATCTAAGAAGTTATTCTTACTTTATTAAAAGAATCTATATACTGTTGGCAGTAATGAATTTTTCTATGCACTCCATATTTATTTATAAATAATTACACAATTCTAACAGAAAATAAAACTTTATGCTTACTTCACAATATATTTCTTGTAAATTTTATTTAGCATTTTTCATTTAGCATTTTGAGCATGCAATAAATATATATTCATTTTAGAAAACCTTAGAAAGTATGCCCAAAAATGATGAAAAGAATTAAAATATTCAGTTTTATAAGTTAGAAATAACCACTGTTATTAATATTTAGTATTTCTGTTTGTACATGTCCATACATATACATTTTACTTTCAGTATTGGGGATGAAACCCAGAACTTTGCACATGATAGGCAAGTGCGCTATTACAGAGCTATTCCTCAGTCCTATATTTCTGTAAAAAGTGATCATACCATGTAAGACTGTAAATTCTATTATTAACATCAATTTTTATCCTATTTAATTAAATATTTCTTAGAAAAAGTACTTTAAGAGAAAGTTTCTGTAATGGGTACATGTATATACATGTATATATACACATATACGTAAATATGTATATATATATGTGTGTGTGTGTGTGTGTGTGTGTCTGTACTTCCTACTAACTACTAAGCTTATGCATACTATTCATTGAATTCTTATGCATCCACTAGCTGTTATTAATACTTACATGTGCAAGATTTTATAAATATACATATATATGCATATATTGAAATGTTAGTATGGTCATGTAGCATTTTTATTCTCATCTAGAAGCTTATACTTTAAAAATTTCACAACCTTCTTTTGTTTTTCTTTTCTTCTTCTTTTTCTTGACTTTTTTTTTTCCACTACTGGGGATTGAATCCAGAGCCACCTTACCAATGAGGTATATCCTCATCCCTTATCATTTTTTACTTTGAGACAGGGTCTCACTAAGTTGCTGAGGGTCTTGCTAAGTTGCTGAGACTGTCCCCCAGCTTCTTATCCTCCTGTCTCAGCCTCCTGAGTCCTGGGGATTACAGGTTTGTGTAACCATGCCTGATTGTCTACTTCTTGTTGAATACGTTACAAATTTCTTTTCCACACCATCTTCTTCTTTAAAGAGGCATTCTGGCCACACTTTGACATTCTATGGAGCCACAGTGAAGTTCCCAAATAGGAGTTGCTGGGGAGGTGGGAACTGTGCACTGCTCCCAGGTCTATAGAGGTGAATAGGGCTGCTGGCCCCACACCAAAGACCTCAGGCAGAGGCGATGAAAAATTTTCTTTTCCTTTCCCACTACTGTGAAGACTTTTTTCTTCTACAGTACATCCAACATACTTTTCAACTACACTCTGCATTAGTTTGTTCTTCTATGAAGTATTTTTTGAATATGTAAATTTGTTCCAATATAACTGATGTATTAGGGGAGAGTTTGAAGATAATTCAGGGTTGTACAAGCTTGTATACGACTGCATGAATGAGAAATACCATGGTTGGGATATGAGGTGTCCCTCAAAAGCTTACCTGTGAGACAGTGCAAGAAGGGTTAGAGGTGGGATGATTGGATTATGAGAGCCTTAACCCAATCAGTGAATTATTTCCCTGATAAGGATTAACTGAGTGATGTCTTTAGGCTGGAGGTAGGGTATGGCTGGAGGAGGTGGGTCCCTGGGGGCAGGCCTTCAGGATAATTATCTGGTGAGCTGAGTGTAGTCCCTCTCTTTCTCCTTTTTGACCATCATGTTCTTAGCCAATTTCCTCTACCAAACCCTTCTGTCATGACATTCAGACTCATCATTCAAGCTCTGAGGAATACAGTCAGCCATCTATGGATGGAGACCTCTGAAACCATAAGCCCTTAAATAAACATTTCCTCCTCTAATTGTTCTTGTCAGGTCTTTTGGTCCCAGCAGTGTAAAAGCTGACCAAAACACCAGCTATGTAAAAATACACAGAACACACACACACACACCCTGCAACTTTGACCAGCAGCCCTCTCCTCCCTGAGTGTTACACCACACTGACCACATTTAGTGTTATAAACTTCTGTCTAATTACAGGTAACTTTCTTTGCTTCATTTCACAATAACTCATAAGCTGGAAGCATTTGAATGACCATTCTTACAAGCAAACTGCATGCCTTCTTCAAGATAAGTGTTTTGTGCATGTGTACTTGTTAACAATTTAATGTGTGTAAAAGAGCTACTATTTTAATTAGGCTTGTACCTCTTTTCAGTGTGTCCCTGGACACATTACCCTGAGATGTGAAAGAGGTTTTGTGTTCCTGGACTTTGTGGTGTTTTACTTGTGCCATTTTTGCATAGTGAGGGGATCTTTCAGAATACCATGTCACATCATATCACAGAACAACTGATTATATATACCACCCTCTGGGAAAAATCCTCTGCATGTGCAATGTGAGAGAATTTTCCCTGAATCTCAGGAGCATTTCTGAGTTTTGTTTAGATTCAAAATCGTTTTTTTCTGGGTCAGGTGGTTTTAAGGCTGACTTGAAACACTTTGGGACTATGCACATGTCGTCAAATTGCTGTTTCTTGTTCTGTGTTAAGATCAGGGACAGGTTGGTCCTTAACATCAAGACATTTGAACTTCTGAGGTCCAAATCTCTCACTCCCATCCTGGGCCCCAATCACTCTGTTGCCTATCCTATTTTATTTTCACATTATAATAAAGTGAAATTATCTTATATGTATGAGTGTTGTGTATGACATACCAAATCACATCATTCCTGTTAGAATGTGCTTCCCGAAGGCAGATATTTTAACTGCCTTGATAGTAGTTGTGTCATCTCCACCTCTAGCAGTGTACGCCACATACAGATCAATAAATATCTGTATTCTGTAAACCACAGATTCCTGTCCATGTATTTAACACTAAAATGTATAATAGCCATTTCCTTGCAGGTGTTCATCTGGAATTATTTTGGGATTTCCCCCACCATGCAAACATCAGCCAAACATGCATTTTCAAAATCCTATTAGCTCCTCAGGAAGTAGGTAAACAAATTATATAACGATCTAGAAATCAAACTTGGACCTTTGATTTTTCATTCCACTTTCTAGCCAATTTCCCCCCCTCTTTTCTAAAGTGCAATTATTTCACTTAAATTACTGTCTAAGAATAGCTCGCCGAATCCTGCAGCTTGCATAGTAACAGAGAGGAAGGGCAGGAGGTGTTGGTTCTTGACAAACAGCAATTGGACATGTAATTAGAGGTGCAAGCTGGGTTAGGTTTGACCCATGATGCCACCTCCGAGATCCTGGCTAAATAAAATGGACTTGCTCACAACGCTAAGCTGAAAATCAAGGGTTGAGTTTCATCAAACATTTATCTAGTGCCCCCTAATGGCAATGTCCAGAGCTGAATGCTGAAGGAATGGAATAAAACAAATGAAATCAAATCAAAATGATCCTCTTTTAAATTAGCATAGACTTCAGGAAGAAAGGAGTAACATGCCACACATAAACATAATGCCAAATTCTAACTATGTGGGAAAAATCACAGAGCATGGAGCACTCCCTATGTAAAGACTCCCTTTGGGATGGGGGAGATCTGTGGATTCCACACAGGCTGGATTTGAAGGGAGTCTGTGCTGGTCACCTGCCCGTGTTCGCATAGGTCGACTTCCCACCCACACTTGCTCTGGCTATTTCAGTAAATGACATTTCCCAGGTTTCATTGACTGTTGGCTTTTGGCCAGGTGTGGGCAGTGAGGAGGATGGCCCAGGAAGAACCAGAGCAAAGACAAGCTGCCTTTGCCCTCTCCTCTCCTTGGCCAGCTATCACTGCCCTGCCCCCTGCTCCTGTCAGATGCATCCGCTGTGACTTTGGCTTCCATGTGTCAGTACTGGTTCCAAGGCTCTCATCATGCCTGGTATTTCCAGACCAGGGAAATTAGAGATGTCCTCATTAGGCTAATCTCAGCATAGCCTTCTCTGCTCCTAACTGGCATCTCAGCTCTTCCATTATTCAAGTACCAAATTCCCTGTATTAAATCCCCTTTGTGTGAAATATCTAGGCAGGCTTTCTGTTTGCGTGGCTAACCTCTGACTGACACAGGAGATAATCTGCTTCTGATTGGGGCACAGATTGGCCTGAAGAGCAACACAGGGTGAGAGGCGTCCGTCTGTGGGAAAGAAAAAAACTAAAGGCAACCATGAAATTAAAAAAAAAAAAAAAAAAAGGAAATTCCCATGCATACTGAGACTGCACTGAAGACACCACAACCTTCTGACTCCAGTAGTATTGGGGGAGTGCCTAGGAAGGTTTTGTGCCTGCACAAATGTTTTGACCTAAGGAACAGAGGGTCCCCAAACAGTGACAGATCCAGTCCACTTCTTGTTTTCCACTAACTTTGAATCATTTATTTGGAACTCTTGGGAATGACTCACCCACTCAAAACACCAGAATAGTAAGGGGTCTTCTTCCTCCAAATTATACACAAGGAGGAGGCAGTGAATCTTCTCTGTTAAAGTGGTTTGCTCAAGGTCACACAGCTGGTAGAGACAGAAGGGAATTATTCCAGGTCCAAAGCTGGTTTCTTTCTACCATCTGAGCCTCTAGCTCCTCTTCCAAGTCTCAGTTCATTACATGTAGTTTGGTCCTTCAGTAACTACAAGGTTGCAAATAAATCTGAATGGGTTTGCTCCCTGTTAATTTGTAACTTTGAATTGATAACAACGATAATGTTATTCCTTTCAATGTAACCAGTGTGGAAGGATGCTGAAATGGAATAATGTAATGAAGTGACAGGTATTGTACAGTCAACTGAAATATAGGTACACTTTAGATTGGAAAATATATTCTGCTTTGTTAGTTTAAAAAAATTAAAAAATAAAACCTTGAGCCTGTGGTGTTAACGATATTGTCTTGTAATTAGCCGTTATGAAATCTTGTAAATGCATCACTTTTTGACTAAATACCGAGTTTGGGGGTAAAAATAAACATCTCAAGGCAAAGACTTTAGAGACATTATCTGTTTAATAAATATGATTGTAAAAGCAATAAACAAGAGCAATTATACATTACACTACATAGTATTTAACAAAAAAATACATCAAAAAAGTCATTTTAAAATTAGAAGTAGTTCCAATACTATAAGAAAACTTTCATTTTTTTTTTTTTAAATTGGCTTCCTATAAAAATAAGTTGGCAAATGAGGGATTTCAATGCTCAGTTGGAATCCTGGAAAACACAGAACAGCTGCCAAGCACCCCATTCCTCTCAAAGTTGCTGTTTGGAACTTCTGAAAAAAAAGCAAAGCGAACCTCTGCATTTTGGATAGTGGATCCAATTAGGAATAAGGCAAGAGAGAAAATGTTGGTTGGGTAGTTCAGGGTAGAGCATGCACAGTTTGCCTTCTGGGGTTTTAGAAAATGTTGCAGTGTTGTATTTTTAGCTTGCCCTGAATCTCACCTTCCACACACATCCCTCCCCACACTCCTCTGGCCTTAGCCCACCAAACTCCTCATTGTGTTTGCACCTGCTATTAGCCAGTAGGTAGGCACTTGGGTCCCTCCCATTTGTAGGCTAACATCATTGCCTTGTCTTTGGGCTTGAGCTGGAATGGCCTGTTCTGGTGGTTCTCCAACTTGAGCATGCATCATGATCACCTGGATGGCTTGTTGGACTGATTGGTGGGACTACTCCCATCCAGAAAGAGAGAGCAACACTATTCATCCCCTAGAGTTTCTGACTCAGTAGCTCTGGGGTATAGACCCAGAATTTGCATTTCTAACAAGTTACAGGTGATGCTGATACTGCTAGCCTGAGTACCACACTTTGAGAACCACGAGCCACAGTCATAGGAACAATGAGGTCCCCTCTGAGCAGTACCTTGCCTCACTAATCACCTACAGGTGGGAGGGAGCTTTGAGGAGAGGCACATGAGGACACTGGAGATGCTGAATCTATAGCTGGCCACCTTTGGTCACTCTCCAAAATGCCAAGCATCTCATGTCTGCCTCTATTTTAAATTAGGACTTAGGGTCCCTTCTTCCCTATGTCTTTGCACTCATTTATTTCACTGACAAATAATTTTCACAATACTACTCTAGGCAAGGCACTGTGCTAGATTAAGAGTATATATCCCTTTTCACAATTTTCTAATTAAAATGAATTGAACTGCAACTCTGAGGACTCCCTGTGCTGGTGTGAGTGAGCCTCTTTTGGTTTCTAAACACTCGGTCTTCCAGATGAAATTTGGGAGGCTCCAACTGAAGAGAATCAATGAGGATGTTTTCTATGAGATAGGAAGCCTGGCAGATTGGGAATCAATCAAAGTTTTACAAAAAGGTGGCCGCCCCAGGCACAGCCCATTGCCCAGATTCACATGGGGCCTCCTCAACCATGACACCTTTTACACGGTTAACTTCTGGCAGCAACTTTGCTACTCTCGCCCTGCCTAAGCTACATTAGGGCAGGAGTCATTGGGATCTTTAGGATATCCTCATCATCACAGGACCCTGTTATACCCTGTTGGTGGCTTGGGGACTCAGCCAAGAAGGACAGTAGGTTCTCTGGGTGGTTTATCATAATGATTTCTCCCACCCTTCAAATGGGCTTTGTCCAGTTCAAGTACTGAGGGGGCTCCAGGAGTGGATGGACTTTTGTTCCCTTCTCTGGTCCTTCTTTCATGATCACCCTGGGAAAACTGGGGATATCTTCACGCTTTCAGGATTTAAGGACTGTGAGGATTTCTTTTGCTTTGTTGGAGGGCTAACTCCTCCCCTGTATACTGACTTATTTTTCCTTTACTGATACCGTGATACTCAAAAGATGAGACAGCACACGTGAAATCACCAGGATCACCCTAAGTAATCAAAATCTCATCCTAATGTAAGATAAGACCTATTTTCTCAGACTTTTTGACATTCTCAAACATTAAGTCCATTAACCTGCTTCTCCTTCTGGTTAAATCAGTGTTTATTTCACAAGTATTTTTATTCTGTTGTGAGAAAGGAAGTATGTGGTAACAGCAACTATCACAGGAAGACATTACCCTGCAATACAGTCACATGTCCAAAACATTTCTCACAAGAAGCTTCCAGAATCTGAACGCACGAGATGTTTGTTAATGTGCAAGAACACCACTGCCCAGTTGTGTACTTTCTTTTCCAAAGAATATGGCCAGGTTTGACTGCTTTGCATATATCAACTCTTTCACATTACATGTTTCCAGGTGGGAAAAGGCAAGGATATTTGGAAAAGGCAGGTTCTAGAGGAAGAGACAAAGGGTACATGAAACTGAACCCTGCTGGGCAGGATGCAGCCGGAGCAGTGGGCACAGAAGCTGGCATGCTTGGGAGTGTACAAAACAAACAGAGATCTGAAACTTGCAAGTGGTGGGGTCAGGGTTGGCAGAGCCTAGGCCAGTATTTAGGAGACACCAGGGGTGATGTCCAAAATCTAGCAATGTGTTTGTGAAGAAAAAGTAGGAACAGTTGAAGGATAACTTGGGGATTGAAAGGAAGGGATTCAAAGACATGGACGGATCATGGGTACACAGGGATGGCAAACAAATGGGAAGGCAAGACAGAGGGTAATTACTAGAAAAAAATTCCATCTTCTACTTCAGTTGGGACGGGAGTAGGGAAAGCTGCAAGGAGAAAAGCTGAACAAGAAACAAAGGTCCGTTTCTGACGTGCTTTGCTTCCCTGCCCCTCTTTTTGTCCTAGTGTACCTGCACACACGATCTTCAACTTGCATCTTTGTCCCTGTGGCCACAGAGAATAGAGAGAAAGCAGCCTTGTGGCCTCTGCTGACCAACAAAGCTACCACCGCTAACTTAGAAGGGGCAAACGACAGTAAGGACAGTGGGACAGAGAAACGGCTCAGGGTTTCCCTGTGCATGTCTTTGTGTCTTATGAAAAGGCCAGGGATGGCTAATCCACCCCTCGGCCAGGAGTGCTAAAATAGCTGTTAAATCTAGAGCCAAGAATATTTCCAAAAATACATGCAGATTTCCTTGGCCTATATATGTTATGAATTTTCTACAAACACGACCGATCAGAAAAAAGAGAAGAAAAGGGGAGGGGAGTGTTTTCCATTAAAATAGAGCACCTGTACACTGCCCCTCCAGACATGTCCTCAAGGTATTGTCCACATGCACAGGCTTAAAGCTAAAAACCCTTGTTGTCTGTGTCAGAAGAATTAAAAGTCCCGGTGCAGTGAGTGTTTGTTTTTTGTTTGTTTGGATTTTGACTGTTTTTATTTTTATTTTTTGTTTTGATTTTTTTTTGTTTTTGTTTTTTTGTTTTTGTTTTTTTACTGGCGTCCTCCATTCAAACATTTACATAGGTAGGGATTTCTTTTGTGCTTTGATTCTCAGCAACTATGGAAATACTTCCTGGCAAAAATAGGAAACAGAACAACAGAGGAAAGAAAAGAAACATAAAGTTAGTGGTCATGAAGGATGATGCGCTGGACAAGAGCGAAATTCTTTCCTGATCAGCAGGTCGCCTGTAGCCTTTGGGGTTTTTCCTTAAATTGCAAATTGTGCCCCAGCAGATCCCCGCTTTGGCGTTGAAGGTGGAGTGGCGTGTCTTGCTCTTTGCAATCGGAGAGATGAGTCACCAGGTTGAGTAGAAGGGGAGGGAGGGGAGGGTAAAGCTACTCTCCTAAGAGAAAACGTGTAACACTTACTCATTTAATGACACTGGAAATGGAAAAGTGTCAGAGAATTTGCAATGTGGTGTGAGATGTTCCTGGAGAAGGAGGAATTGCTACTTTAATAAAGTAAGCAGCCACTGTGCTCCATATATCTTGTGGAAATGATACTGAGAACCAAATGACCCCCAAAATGCAGCATCTTAGAGATGCTTTGTAAGTAAACAGACAGGGCGGGGTGGGGGGGTATGAATTTATTAGCTTATGTCCCCGGTAAAAGAAAATGCATGGTGAAAACCGGATACCAGATGTGGCTGCAAGTGTTATTACTACCTACAATAGGAGCCAGTCATTGTATTTAAATTCCCCCTGAATGTCTCCACAGACCTGTCCCATATCCATGTAAAGAGATTCTGTTTACATGCTCATTTTTCCCCTAAAATAAAAGATTTAAAATCTTATGTAAAAGCCTTCTAGACAGTTTGGCGTTATGACATTAGAGTGAAGTGCGAACACTTATGTAATAATTTATTCTTCGAGGTCAGTAATGCAGGATCTAGATGTGAACATTTACAGCTTCAACTCCTGAGGCCCACAGACAGGAGGAACCCGGGAAAGAAATGGATCAGCAATGGTGGCTCCATGGATTTGTCTAACTTCCTGGAAACTTTCTTCTGCAATAAATAGCAGGACTCAGCAACTGAGCTTCAGACATGCTATACCTAGCTGCTTATCTCCCATGCTTACTTCACAGGTGGAGAGAGGTTACTGAAATGTGAAGTCCATTTTAAGGTATCTGGTATGGGACAGTTAAAAAAAAGTGTGTGTGTGTGGGGCATTTGTTGATCTTCTCTGTAATAATCTAATCCTATAACTGGGCTCTCTTAAGATCCTCACTCCCAAACTTTGTCTCTCTTGTTCTCAAGTTCTCAGGAACCAGTTTCTAGATAATTGCTACATTAAAAAAAAATCTCTGGATGGTCACACTTGTCACTCTTATTATGTCCCTTCTTTGGTGGTGGTCTTTGCCCTTCACAGGGTTGTCTATAGTTGGGCTGCCATGTTTTGCTCTGGTCCACTACACCTCAACCCCAACCCCTTGCCAGCCCTCCAGTCCACCATCCCCAGCCTCTGAGGCCTCTCCTTCTTGTATATTGCTCATAAACATTTGAAGCCCAGTGTTTTAGGGAGGGTTTTTGCAAAGGTGGAATTAATTAATGAGAGAGGAAAAAAACTAAATAGAAGCAAGAAAGAGACATCTTAGCTGTTTCTCTCAGGGGTGTTAGAACAGAAGGAAGTGGTTATGTGAAGCCAGAGAGCAGTTAGAGGGAGAGTCAGCCATTGGTTACAGAGGCTGAACAACTGATGGCTACTGGGAATCATTTACCTACGAGCTGTGATTCCACCTTCTCATCTCTAAGCTGGCCAGGCCTTCTTAGTTCAGTCTGAGGGATATTGGGCCTGTTTTCAGTGTGACTGACTGGACTGATCATCTCTTGTTCTTTTTCATTCTGCATCTGGGCATAAACATTAATCCCCGGGATCTTCCTAAAACATTAACAGAAACCATCACTGTTGTGCAAGGGAGAAGCACAACACAGCCATGTGTGCTTCGGAACCTGTCAGAAAGAGGGAGGGGGAAGAGGTAGGGGAGAGTGGATGGAGGGACACGCACCTTTTAAACTTGTAGATGACGAACACGGCCAGCCCCACAAACACCACCGAGAGCAGCATCAACATGGCGGATCCACTGTGGGTTGGAGTGAGGTCCACCAGTGGGGCTGAGGGAGGAAACAAGAAATCATCATAAGCAGAGACTCAGGCAGGTAAGACTCTATGAGAGACTCACACAGTTCACACACAGGCTTGGTGAGTCCAAGAAAGCCACATGGGATGAATATACAAAGTACAAATCACACAGCTGATACATGTATGCACCTGAGCCTGTCCTAGCCCCCATATGCTCCAGTTGGCCTGTCCAAGTACTGGAGCAATGAAGAGCAAAGACCCTGGAGCCAGACTGTAAGGATTCCAGCCATGCTCCACGACCTGCTAGCTGTTGAATCTTGGGCAAGTTACTCCATCTTAATGTGTCTCTGTGGTTAGAGGAGATGGATGGTCTATTCTTCTGTGGTCACAAAGATTAAATGAGTTAATGTACCTTATTATTAAGAACTCTATAAGGTTTGCTTTTATTTCTACAGCTGCTACTATTATTATTAATCAATACATGTCCTCCTTGAGTTAATATTGGGGTAATATCCTGATAAACTCATTGATAATACCATTGAAAATACCCACAAGTCAAAATACATTTCATAACTTGAACCTACCAAACATCACAACTTAGCCCAGCCTACCTTAAACTTGCACAAAACACTTACATTAGCTTACAATAGGGAAAAAAAATAATCTAACACAGATTCACCCCTGAGAGAAACAGCTAAGATGCCTCTTTCTTGCTTCTATTTAATTTATTCCTCTCTCATTAATTAATTACCCCTTTGCAAAAACCCTCCCTAAAACACTGGGCTTCAAATGTTCATGAACAATATACAAGAAGGAGAGGCCTCAGAGGCTAGGGATGGTGGACTGGAGGGTTGGCAAGAGTTTGGGGAATAAGGTGTAGTGGACCAGATCAAAACATTCAACTATAGACAACCCTGTGGAGGGCAAATCTGTGTTAGACGATTTTATATAACTTACTAAATACTGTACTGAAAGTAAAAAACTGAACACTGGTATGGGTAAACCTCTTAAGCCCAACCGTTTTAAGTCAGGGACCATCCATATTTATAATAATATAATGCTAATTGTTATTAAATTTTCTCATATTCTACATGCAAGCTTTTCCCACTAAGCAAAGCAGATAACCAGTAAAACCACCAATGGGAATATTTTTTGTGAATTACCCAGTCTCTTTTGCTCCTATTCTAGCAGTTGTAAGGAACAGAACCAGAAAGTGATGATGCATGTTATATTTTTGTGCACTACAGGGTGTGGATGGCTAAGTGAATATTTTTCAAGGGCTGTCATTCTGATGCTGGGGAAGGTGTGACATCCAGAGGGCTCCATGACTTCGTGAAGTCCTGACAACAAGCCCCTGTCCTTCAAATGCAGTGATTTCTCCTCCCAGACAAAATATAGCTTCTGCGAGCACCAGTCTTCCCAAGTTTTCCCTGAGAACGCATGCACGCAGTATTGGAAAGCATCTCTCCTGACCTCCAAATCTTCTTCCACCTCAGGGTCAAACCTGTTGTACTTGTAATGACTTTGTTTGCAATTAATTTCTACCCTCTCAAGAACTGACATTCTGCAAATCTGGCACAGCTCCAGCCTAAGCAACAATCCACATGAACCTCGTGGAAGCCAGCATGCTGACCTTTACCTTCCATCAATTTAAGCAGAATCTGATGCCCAGAAATACAGGTGACCTTTAAGCACCATTTTCTGTGGCTTGTTTCTGTTGAGAACCGAGAGGTCAACATTCTGGTCATCAAGGTAAAAACGTTCAAGAATAAGTGACTGCAATATTAATGGTCTCAGAACAGACCTTCGGCTGCTTCTGTTCTGTCTGGTTTTCATAAGATTACATCCCTGTCACTCAGTGGCCACCACTAGAAAGTATATTTCATGTCACCACCCAGTTCAGTGTAAAACGAAAGCCAAGCCTTCTTCTTTCTCTTAGTGAGTTTAGTAGAATTGGCTCACTGAATATAAGGAAGCTCCCTGCTCTTTTCTCTCCCTGTAAGTCAAGCAGCACTTAATTAAGCTGTGAAATAGCTGTGTCGGCGTGTGTGAGAAGATGGGTGCAGCCCTATTCTTGTGGAACACCCAAGGAAAATTTGCTTTCCATTTGAAATAAGAAAATAAAGCCTCAGTGCCATCAGCCAAGCCCAGGAACACTTCAGAATTAGCACTACGGTTGGTGGGATATCATCAGGCAGGAGAACACCTTCCATTTATCATGGACATCATCTCCATAGATTTTCACAAATGAAATGCGGACAGTGATCCTTATTATGCAGATAAGAACAGAGAAGTTCTCCTTGGTTCCTGTCACTCCAAAGACTTGGAACTAATAAACGGAAGCACGCATACTTGAATCCAAGTCATCACAGATACACGTACACACACATGCTATATACTCAGGCTGGTGGGAGATAATTAGAAATTTAAAAAGATATTTCTGAATATGGGCATTGGGACTAACACTATATAGTACAGGAAGAAATAACAAGTGACAAGCTAAAATTTTGTTTTAAAAGGAACTGTTAGAATCCTAGATCATACACTTTTAAACGTAGATGGCATGTATACATATGCATTAATGTTTATGGATGTGTGTGTGTGCGTGTGTGTGTGTATGTAGAGAGAGAGAGAGAATAGAGAAATTAATCCTCATGTACTCATCATTTAAGTCTCAATAGCCATCAACTGACAGCCAATCTTATTTTCTCTTCACCACCATCTAATCCCCACAGCCTCAACCACTGGATTATTTTGAAGCAGCTTCTATCATACAATTTCATCATCTGCAAATCTAAAAGATAAAAATCTCTCTCCTCTCTCCTCATTATCAGGAAGCCATCATCATATTGAAAACTAGATATTTGTAAGGTAATCTCCTAAGGCAAACCCTTCATCTGTCAGGGAATAAATGGAGGTCTAGAGGTGGTTAGAGTCAAGAGTATTTAAACTTCCTACCCTGGAAGTGAGCTCTGTCAGCATAGCTTCTTGGTGCCACCAAGAAGTAGACACAGTTTACTTGAAGGAGTGGCATCTGAAATAAATGAAAAACTAAGAGAAAATCCCTTGGCTAGGTCCTCACTAACACATATGAAAGCAAACTTACATATGCACCTATGCACATGCACGCATGCACGCGCGCACACACACACACTAGAACTTTACCGCCCATCTTTGCCTTCCTCCTCCCATCTCTCTTCCCATCACAAGGTTAAATCTTTTAATCCTAAACCATTCACACTCAAATTGTGGTTCTTAAGGAAACAGTGTTAACACTGTTAGGCAATTAGCACATTTGTGTGGGAAAAGCAGCTTTTGTCCCCCCCGCCCCCCCAGTTTCAAAACTCATGCTATCCCCTCCCTCTCCACACTTAGTCACTTCTCAGAGGCAGCAAGTGGGACACAGCAGACAGCAGTGGAGAGAGATCGAGTGCCACTGCCCTCTGTGTTCCGTGGGTGGCTTCTGCTTGTTGATGTGTGCCTGGATATAAACGGTTTTTTACTGCTCCACACAACAGCGGCTGCATATCTTAGTTTGCCCAATACTTAGGTGCGTTTCTGTGTGTTTTGCTGAGGAATGGAAAGTGGTGATAAATGGGCTTTGGCTTGTTGTGTGGAATTAGCATAAATTAATCCCTCTTCAATTGTAGCCTAAACAAAGTAGATGTGCAGGAGGAAAGTGCTGAGCAGTTTTTTTCCCCCCATTATAAGTACACAGAGCAAAACACAGATACAAGCAGTGCTCCAAGTGACTCAACATTTCTAAGCCCCAAAGCTGGCACACACCATTTGAAAAATCCTATGAGGATCTTAGCAATGCTTTGAATGATCATATTCTATTTATAAGGATCTGAGTTGATTATCCTAATAGGGATGCTCACATTAATAAACACATCTTCTTGTGAAAAATGATTGACATATATATAGTCACAGTTGCACATCTGAGAGTAAATTTGAAACTCCCTATTTGGGGTTAAGTAACTGATAGGGTCCCATTTGGGAATCAGATCCTGGTTTTGCTACTTACAGGCTAAGGGACTTCAAATGACACTCAGTTTCCTCATTTGCAGAATAGAGATAAAAATTATGTTTGGTGTAGTAGGTTGTAAGAATGAAATGAGATGGGATTTACAAAGCACTGTCACAGCTTCTGGTACATAGTACATGCCTAATATTTTTACTCTGTCATTATTACTGTCACATGTCTGAAAGCATATTCTGTAGAAAAATAGTGCTGAAGAGTTCCATGGTGAAGTAATTTTGGAAAATGGCAAACCCCCTTCTGAAGATTTATGATGCACATTAGGATATCAGAGGTCTGCAGGCCTGCAGGAAAGGAACTCCCTTACCTTTAGTATAGTTTTCCACCAATTCATCAGACCAGTGTCCCACAAAGCACTTGCCTCACCCTGAGAACCACTGTCCCTTGTACTGCAGCTTTGCCCCTTTCCTTACTTGATTTTCAAGTTCTGAAATCAATCGTAGCATAACCCAGTGAAGCCAGGCAAAATCCAGGGTGGCTACCTTGTGTTCCCTCTTCTTCTATTAAAGGCATCATCTTGGAGAACTTCTACCTGCACTATGATCCGGAAATTCTCAGCTCCTACTATATATCTCTAACCCAAGAACTGGTGCTGTCAAGAAGTTACAGAAGCATATGAGTTCACCTTACCTTGGTTTTCTTTTACCCTATCCCACCTCCCAAAGCACACCCAAGTCCAACTTGTAGAACTGCAATATGAAAATCCATGTGATCTGGAACTTTTGGGGAGAAATTAAGGTGGTGTTGTAATAGCACAGAGAAAGTTTTCCTAGAGTGTAAAATGGGCATAAAAACTCATGCTCACTTGGCCAGTGGACTTTTCTCCAGTTCAAATTCAAGCCCAACCGTGATGGTCTTAATGACTGCTATACCATATTGTGATAAAGCTGTGGGACAACAGGACAGAGTAGATGGGAATTGCCAGGGAAGTTTGGATAAGTAAGTAACGGAGTCTGGTAGACTGAGGCAGCTCTAGCACCCTAGGTTCTT